CTCTCTAAGGCCTGCGAAGGCTTTCTTGGAGAGCTTTCTTTCTACTCTTGTATGTAAAACAGCTGGCAAAAAGTGCCGTGTGTACAGCAGCCTAGGTGGGAGGGCAGGCAGACAATTAGGAAACAGTTGAGAAATTGTTATTGAAGCTTAACTGTGCAGAGATCAGATGTGGAGCGGTGCCCTCACCTTCCATAACCAGGAACACCGAACAGAAGGGTTAAGAGATTCAGAGGAAGAGATTTAGCAAAGCGTTTGCTGGATATGGCTGACTCGGGTGGCTTCTAACCCTAGCCGTTCCCTGGCCCTGTGTTTGAAGCTGTCGTGCTCCTGCCGCTGGCAGGAGGATGTGCGGGGCGAAATGCTGCCAGTCGGTGTTTTTCCCAGAGCTCCGGCTCCCCTTTGATGGTTGCTGGAACCGTTGCAAGGCTCAGTAGCCCCGAGGAGTCACGTTATATTTACTGCCAGAACGAGTCCAAGATTAACGTGCTTTACTGTTGGGAGTCTAAAATGTTAGAAACGATGAGTCAAATGCCTCCATCACAAACTTGGCTCAAAGTTTGCAAGACGGAAAGAAAAAAAAAAAAAAACAACCAACCCCAACAACCTAAAACTAGGGTTCGTTCTAGCCTTTTTGTTTCTAAACTTAGAGGGTGTGTGCGGCCAGGCTTTTGATAGAAGTCCTCATGGTGGAGGGCAAAGGACTTCTGGGAGGAGGAAAGATATTAAATAGAAGCTGAAATAGTCAGTTACTCGTTTGTCTCAAGGAGGTGAAATGCTCAGGGGAAACACGCATAACATGCGATGGATCCACATAACAACCCCTGGAAGCTGGTCATCTTGAAAGTGTTTGTCCTGCTGCATTGTCACCTGCCTCCAGCTTGGTGCCAGCCATGTCTTTGTGAATCCGTACAGGAAGATCCAAGGTTGTGCGTAAGGATTTTGGGGAGCTGCTCTCTCTCACCCTGAACACTCAAATAGGAATTATTAATAGGCTTATCTAGCTGCAGTTTCTAATGCAATGGTGCATAGCGTGGTTTTCCCCTTTAAAGAAACAAAAGGTTTTTAATTTGTATGAACTGGTAATTATTACAAGACTTGCAAGGCTTTCCCCAAACCACCTCCCTCACCGAAGGAGGCGAGGAAGCAATTTCCCCACTCCCTGAGATCTCAGCAGCTTCCAAGCGCCCGGCGGTGCCCTGGGCAGGTGAGGTGCTGGAGGGGAGGGAAGGAAAGCAGCCTGGATTGCGAGCGGAGCCTGCTGTTCCGCATAGCCCTCTGCCCCCCGTGGCTCACGGGGAGCTGGGCCCACAGTGCTGCTCTCCCAAAGGGGACGTGTTCAGGGCAGTGATGGGGTGACCTGCAGGAATGGTGCCAGCGAGGGGGTCTGCTGGGTAGTGAGGGGGGCTGTTCCTCCCTGGGCAGCAAGGCAGGGGCTGGTGAGGCCATGGCTGCCCTCAGGGCCAAGGCCCCTGTGGGATAGGGGTGTGGTGGTGGGGAGGGCCTTCTGCTGCCTGGCAGCCAATGGGAGGGACAGTTGAGGCTGCCGCAGCCAATAGGAGCATGGGACTGCCTTGATGGGCATGGTGGTCTTGGCTGAGCTGGGGCTGTCAGAGCAGGAGGTGCTGAGGCGGGGGGCCCTGAGGCAGGAGGTGGTGAGGGTGGTGGGCCCTGGGGGGCTCTGAGGCGGGAGAGGTGAGGGTGGTGGGCCCTGAAGGGGCTCAGGGGCTGCCTGGAGCATGGGGCCAGGGGACATGGAGGCAAGGGGGTTGGTGCTGGCTGAGGTGTCCTGTTGGAGGGGGAAACCAGTATGGTGGGGCTGTCCTACGCATGCAGCGCTGTTTGGGGAGGTGGTGCGGGGCAGGAGCCGTGCTTGGAGCCGCCCTCCTGTCACAGGCTCAGAAACAGGGAGAGGGCTCAGGGCCTGCCTGGCACTCCCTGGCCTGCCCAGGAGCCACAAGGTGCAGGGCTGGTGAGGTCTGTGGGGCAGCTACCTCCAGCGAGGGGCTGCCCAGGGCTCAGCATTAGGTATTGGGGGCTTTTGTTGAGGTGTGCAATGTCTGCGAGAGTGGGCAGCAAGAGGCAGAGTGCAGGCACAGGCCTCTCAAAGAGCACAGCTGGATGCCTTGAGCCTTTCCTCCTTGCTTGTGACCCTTTGCGGCCTTGACTCGTGATCTTGTGCTTTCAGAAGGGCAATACAGGGAGGTCAAGGGAAGCTCTAGGTACCTTTTACTATCTTTATAGGTGGGCCCAGGTTATTCCATATTTCCTTTAGAAGGCTGCTCATTTGAATTTTTATTGCTGGAAGTTCTTTCTTTCATTTCTTGTGGACTCTTTCTCTTCCTCAAACCTCCATTGAGTGCCCCTTCTTTTGTCTTCACTGTCTGAAATCACAGGGCTATTTCTTGTTACTTGTTCTTTAAAAGTTTTGTCTGCTTTTTAGAGAGTCTAAACAAAAGCAATGTTTCCTCCCTAGTTTGTAGTTCAGCTGGTCCATGTGAGCTTTTCCTAAACACACTAAAAGGAAAAGAAGTAGCTGCTGTCTGAATGGCTACTGTAAGAAATCTTGAGACCATGATTTTTTTTTTTTTTTTTCCTTCAGCCACTGCAATGACAAAAGTGTAAGTGTCTTCATGAACCATTAGACAAGGTCATAGGCTTCAGCTTGGTGTATTAAAATCAATAGCCTGTAAGTGATCCCCAGGGGCTGGAGGAGGGTGCATAGAGGGGTGTGCCAAGGGGTCTGTCTCTGCTCAGCACAGAGTAAGAAACCAGATTTTGCCCCAGGCTTCTGATGACATCCTGAGCTAAATGGACTGTTGGTCCGTTCCAGCCCAGCCATCCTCGTAGCTCTAAGAGCTACCACCGTTGTGCCATCTTTGTCATTGGTGCCCAGCTCTTTTCCTCAGAGGCAGCTTTATTCCTGTCTGCAACTGCCAGGTGTAGAGTCTGTTCCTGGCACTCCTCTGATGAGCCTGGTTTGGCTTGGTAGTGATTGGACATGAGAAAAGCAAATACTTGAGCCTCAAAGTGAAATGTTAAAACAACTGAAATAAGCCTCTTCACATAATCTTCCCTTTCAAGGTGTTTTTTGGAGCAGGAGTGGCATGAGGATGCTCCACTTCTAAAGTTCTAAAACTCTAAAATGTTTAGGCTATTGAAGGACTTA